TATCTCGTTAACTATTGCTGACACCGCAAATTGGTACAGGACTTTTCGACTCAGTATATAGTCTGTTTTACCCATGCACGAAACATTTGGCGGTAATTTCCAGACACCCTGTACACGTGTAATTATTATATAAAATTATATAAATTATATAAAAAATTGATATATTTTACAATTATATGTAATTATATATGAAATATGTCCATATATATAACATTTTTTTTCGGGTTTTTATTTGCCGCAACATTTTCTATTGATTGTCTAATATTAAAACTGTATTCTTTCATAATTCTTATGCATAAGGTTCAGATATATTTCAATTACTAAGGAACAAAATTGTAACCTTTTTATTATATGTAAATTTATTGTATGCAAAATTTGAACTTTATGACAATTATTGTTTTCTTACATTATGTAAATCTTTATTGATTAAATAAAAATATATATCTAAATAAAAATCTAAAAAAATATAGTAAACGTTGCGAAAACATTGCAAAGAATGAACAGATAGAATACATACATGTTAAAAAAAATATCATATCGGCTTTCTAGGAAAAATGTTTCATATATAAATATACAGTGTGTCTGGAAATTACCGCCAAATGTTTCGTGGGTGGGTAGAACAGACTATACTGAGTCGAAAAGTCCTGTACCATTTCGCGATGTCAGCAATAGTTAACGAGATATTAATTGCTAAAAATTGCAAAATATTGGTCTTGAATAATTTTTTACTCAAATACTATCAACTTTATAGAAAAACTGCGAGAAACAAAAATCATTTAGTTTCTTCTTTGCTTACATTTCCGCTTTCTGTTTGACCGGAAGTGACCTTTGCCTCATTAGAAAAAACCTGCACGCACGCATCAATCCCAAGAGTTATCCCATATATGTATTGCTTCGGTATATATACATGTACAATGTGAATCGTCTTTACCGTTGCATCGAAGTTAGCAACAACGACGTTGATTATCGATTACGGAAATGAACGTGTCTTCGTGGGTACCAATCAGTGATAAATTAATCGCAAATAGCACGCGATGGCTATAGCGTGACAGCAAAATAGCTTCTTCTATCTATTACCCGACCCCGTTAAGTTGTAATCATGTGGCAAAATAAGCCATTTATACCTTCTTTTAATGTCGAAATACAGAGCAAAGTTCTATACCAATGCCTGTTTTTACCCAATGTAGTTTAATTTTAATCTCAGTTCAACTCTTCATCTTTTTCTAGTTATAAGAATTAAAAAAGATGAAGAGTAAATTGAACTGAGATTAACGTTAGCTACATTGGTAAAAACGAGCATAAGACAAAGAATTTTTTCTTCTCAAATGCTCCGAACAATGCAAACGTGCAACCGCAATGGCCTTGATCGCAATTGTAAGAACCGTATACGTAGTGGCTACTGAACATGACAAAGAAAAGTACATTCTGAAAATATTGGTAATTTTAATAATTTTTCGACACCACTTTACTAATATTCTAGTTACTCATAAACATAAACTAATTTGCTTTATGCCCTATCCAAGTATTTCCAATCCACTCTTTTCGTTCATCAATTAAATTTCTAATTCGTCTTTTAGAGCAGAAAAAATGTAGAA